CATGATTATCATATCTGTAATAGTTATTACAAATTAATATTTGAAAAGTTGGGGATTCTGTTTTTATTGGAGATAAAGGAAATGGTTTAAGACCTGCATTTATTTTGTAGACAAGTTATTTCTGCTTTTAAAATTTTATCTCAGTGGAATCTGGGGCATATTTATTAAAGATCAACACTGAGAAGGAGGGAAAGAAAGGGGTTGAGTAGAGAGGAAGAACTCTGAAATGAGAATTTATCAGGGTGAAATGCCTGGGCCTTCCTATCCTTCCTAGCTTGGTTACTGGAAGTAAATACCTCTTGAAAGGGTGTGACATCAGGAGATTGTCCTCCAAAGCTGACAGACCCTGAAGAGCAAACAGCTGAAGTACCTTCTTCTGGCTGGGCACTGATGGGGATCTGGGTAGTGCATTTCTGTTTCTACCTCCTGTGGATCGCACAGTCTCTGGCCAGACATGTGAAGCAGAGCCTCACTTAGCTGTGATTACTGATAGTTGAAGTAGTGAGCTACTAGTTCTTTGCCCCTGTATCGGCATTTTGAAGCCAATGTGGTCCTATCATCTTGTTTATGTGGGTATATAAACCTGGGTTGGCCAAAAGATGTCATAATTACATTTGCCTTTGAAATTAAATGCTGGACTTATTTTATGTCTGAATAAAAAAATAAACTTAAGTATAAGACATGAAAAATTTAAGAAGGCAAATTGCTTATATTTCTTGAATGTGATACGTGACATATTTAGTCATAATGGTGGCAGAGCAAATTATGAGATTTTCAAAAGTGACCCCTATCTTAGATATGACACCAAAAACACAAGCAACTAAAGAAACAGTAGATAAATTAGACTTCATAGGCCGGGGATTTAGCTCAGTGGTTCTGCCACCTGCCTTGCAAGCGCAAGGACCCGAGTTCGATCCTGGTACAAAAAAAAAAAAAATTAGACTTCATAAAATATAAAAATTTTTAACCAGGTGTGGTGGTACATGTGTGTAATTCCAGCACTTGGGAGGCTAAGGCAGGAGGATTGCAAGTCCAAGGACAGCCTGGGCTACATAGCAAGCTCAAGACTGGCTTGGACTATACAATAAGGCCTTTTGTCAAAACAAAACAAAACAAAAAAATTTTTTAAACTTTTATGTCTCAAAAAAAGTGGAAAGACAACCCACAAAATGGGAAAAAGTATTTGCAAATTGTAAATTTGACAAAGGTCTATATGGAATTTATACAAAGAACTCTTACAACTCAATAACAAAAAGATAAACAATTTAATTAAAATATAGGAAAAATGGTAAGTGGTGGTGCACACTTGTAATCCCATCTATTCAGGAGGCTGAAGCAGAAGGATCTTAAATTCAAGGCAAACCTGGACAATTTTTTTTTTTTGTACCAGGGATTGAACTTGGGACCTTGCACTTTCAAGGCAAGTGGCAGAACCACTGAGCTAATCCCTGGCTCATAACCTGGACCATTTAATGAGACCCTATCTTAAATAAATAAGTAAGACTGAAGATGTAGCTCAATGCTCTCTGGCTTCAACCCCTAGGAAATATATACATACATACATACATACATATATACATACATAAATGGGAAAAGGATTTGAATAGCCATTTCTTCAAAGAAGATTTGCAACTGGCTAACAAGCACACAAAATGAAATGACACAGGGAAATGCAAATCAAAACCAAAATAAGATACCACTTTACAACACACTAGGGTGATTAGAATCAAAAGAACAGATAAAGCTGGGAGAGTAGCTTAGTGGTAGAATGCTTGTCTAGCATGCAAGAGGCCCTGAGAGGTTTTTTTTAATATAGCAAAACATTTATTTGTACATTTTAGGCATACAGATTGATAACACTCATCATAGGGAATTTGCACATGTGGGCCCTGAGTTTGATCCCTAGTGCCAAAATAAAATAAAATGAAGGGCCGGGGATTTAGCTCAGTAGTTTTGCTGCCTGCTGCTCAAGCGCAAGGACCTGGGTTCAATCCCCAGTACCTAAAAAATAAATAAAATAAAATAAAATGAAATGAAAAAGGACCGGTAATGAGTGAAAACGAGAATGTGGAGAAATTGGAGCTCTCATACATTGCTTATGGGAAAGTAAAATTGTACTGCTGCTGCTTTGGAAAACAGTTTGGCAGTTTCTCAAAAACTTGAATATAGGGCTGGAGATGTGGCTCAGTGGTAGAGTGCTTTATGAAACTTAGAATCACCATTTAGCCCCATAAATCCACCTCAACGTGTATACCAAGGAAATAGAAACATATCTATACAACCACTTATTCAGGAATGAAAGCAGCATTTTGCATAGTAGCGAAAAAGTTCATTGACTGATGAATGAATATACAGAATGTAGTATATCTGTATAAGGAATATTTTTCAGCCATAAAAAGAAATAGAGTGCTGACACATGCTACAAAGCATATCTTAAAAGCATCACATTAAGTGAAAGAAGCCAGACAAAAAGGGCATATTTGTATGATTCCATTTATATTAAATATCTAGAATTGGCAAATTCATAGAGATAAAAAGTATAGTGGTGGTTGCTAGGGGATGGGCAGAAGGGGAGCGTTGGCAGTGACAGCTATGGGATTTCTTTTTGGAGTGATGAAGTGTTCTGGAGTGAGATAATAGTGATGGTTGCACAACTTTTGAATGTACTAAGAACTACTGAATCCTATTCTGCACAAGGATGATAGTAATGGTGTATCAATTATATCTCAATTAAAATCAAGTTCCCCAAAAAAGAAGAGTGACTCACTGAGATATCAGATGAGTGAAAGCCCAAGAGTAAGTTTGTGTCTTGAGGGATCAGTGCCAAGATAGGAGAGGCATCAGCAGGAGTCTCAGAAGACAATGAATTTGACTTAGAAAATATTGACTTTGCATACTTGTGCCTCCTTGGAGTACTCTTTGGGGGCTAGACATCAAAAAAAGGAGTTAAGACATTTTGAGTTAGGGCTGTCCGGATTCAGGTGACAGCTGAAACCCAGGGGAAGGTATGGTAGCACTTAGCAAAGAACTCAGCCTGTGACGGATTTGCTTGAACAAGGAAGTAGACTGCAGGAAAGAAAAATAACCTGTGAGTCTGGAAATGAGGAAGGAAAACAGGGCAGGGCAGGACTTGGATACTGCAAAGTCTTATTTTGCAGGATAATGGTGAGAGAAGCCTAAGCCCAAATGATAGCTTACTGACATTCACCTTTTCTACCAGGGATCAGGTTACAACCAGTAGTTTCTGCTTCATCTTGTTTTTCTGCAGTACTACTATGATAGAAACCAGATAACATAAATTTGTAAGCTTATTTGAAAAAAAGTAGTTCCATCAATCCAATGGTGGAAGAGTTTCTTGATTTTACATAGAACATTCCAACCCCAAAGGGCAACTCAGAAATAGAGATCATCGAAACTGGTATTGTGGAGTGTGCCTATAATACCACCCATTCAGGAGCCTGAGACAAGAGGATCACTAAGGCTAGCTGGAAAATTTAGCAAGACTCTGCTTCAAAATCAAATAAAAAGGGGGCCAGGGATGTAGCTCAGCAGCACAGGCCTGCCTGGCAAGTGCGAGGTCTTGAGTTTGATCCCTGGTACCAAAAAAAAAAAATCAAATAAAAAGGGCTGCAGGTATGGCTCAATGGTAGAGTGCTTGACACAAGGCAGTTGGTTTAATCTCCATACAAAATTTAAAAAGAAAGAAAGAAGAAAGGAAAGAAAACAAAGCAAGCATCACAGAGCCCCAAATAGACAAAAGGGCTGGTTCATGCCATGTTCTCATTCTCACTGGCTCTTAGTAACTTTCTGTTGCCAGAGCCAGTGGATGGGATGGAAACTAGCAGAACACATTGTTTGAAGGAAGGCCCAAGGTTTTGAAACTATCTTAATTCTTGCACAATCCTGCTAGAAAGAATTTCCCTAAACAGTTGCAAAGCATTTAGTTTTATCTAAGTCTCCCTAGAAAACCCCTGATGCCAAGATTCTCCAACCAGAAGTATTAAAGAATGTGCACAGGGCCAGGGAATTTAGCTCAGTGGTGCCGCTGCCTGCCTCAAAAGCACAAGGTCCTGAGTTTGATCCCCGGAACCAAAAAAAAAAAAAAAAAAAAATGTGCACAAACTTTTGTACAAGTGTTGTTACTACCTAATAGAATTCCTAACTGGTTCTTCTTGATATCAGTTTCCAGGGTGGCCATGACTTGGATGGAGTTTTTGGTTTTCCTTTTTATTTTAAAAGCTATTTCTCTAACAATAGGCAAAAAATACTGGGAGACCTAAGGATTTCGCATTCTTCCCTGTGAATAGGTCGTGATTAGTATTTTGTTTTAATAAATGAGGAAATCTAGGAAGAAAGAGCCAGATTTGAAATGGTAAATCAATGCAGACTACTGATCAGAGCCTTAGAGATGTATAATGCCAGGGGTCTGTTCCCAGCATTTCCTCCTGTAGCAAAAGATTATTGAACTGATGTTGAAATTCATTATTTATACACTTAGGATAAATACTACTATTTGCCTTCCTCTTATCCGTGGAGTACTTCATAATTTGTTTTGTTTTGTTTTAGAGTTTTTTATGGGGGGAGGGTTGGACAGGGTCTATGTAGTTGGTGGTTGGTCTTTAATTGACTATGTAACACAGACTGGCCTCAAACTCAAGGTGATCCTCCTGCCTCAGCCTTCTGAGTGCTAGGATTACAAGTGTGCACACCACACCCCACATACTTCATAATTTATGAGGCCATTTTATATTTGTTATCTTGTTTTAACTCACCTAAACCTTACAAGATAGGAAGTGTATGTTTTTATTATCACCATTTCACAAATGAAGTGAGATTCAGAGAGGTGAAGCAATTTGCCCAAGTTCACATGGTTTCCAAGGGATGACACCAGAACCAGCATTCAGTCTTGTGACTTCCCCTCTATTATCTTTCTTTCTATAAAATATGCTGCCTTTGAAGTCTTTTCAGAGCTTCAATGTATGCCTTTTCTTTCAACACAGCCTCAAACAAAGGACTTTTTATACCCTTCACTAACTGGGAAAGAAAGGATTCCCTAACCAGTACTTCTGCAACCCAGGACAATGGTAAACCAGGTCAGAAATCAGACACTTTTCCCCTGGGGACACAGGTAAGGCATTCTCTCTCTCCTGCTGATCTGCTGACTACTCAGTGTTTAATACTAATAATTCAGTGGACTCTCGATTATTTATGAAGGTCTAAGAGGGCTTGTTAGAAAAAGGCAGTTTAGACGCTCTAAAAGGAAAATGCAAGACAGGACGTAGAGTACCTTCTCTATTAATTTCAGTCTCCTTTTCCCACTCTTTCACTAATCTGTTAACATATGCCATCTATTTTTACATGTAACTTTAGCACATTTTATGCCAAGATTTTAATACCCAAACAGAGATGTAAGAGTTATAGTTTTGTGCAGGCTCTAAAATTTCTCCTCTCTACCCAATGTCTCCATCTCCTCTTCCTTTACCTCTTAGATTTTCTTACTTCTACCTGTTAGTTACAGAGTCTTCCATTTCAAGGGTGGTTTTCTCAAAGCTGCTTCTTCAGAATAATAGAAAAAAAAAAGTTAAAGAACAAAGATGACACAGGAGTGATGGGTAATGGGAGGGTAGTATCATACAAGATTTGGAAAAAATTGAGAACAACAGAAATTTAGAGAAAAATTTGGTGGAAGAATCAATTTTATAAGATTTCTAGTATGAGTGAATACGACTCAAAAAGCAGAACTTTATGTTCAACCTCTCCTTTTGCCTTTTCTTATAAAATATGAGAATGAAATTGTGGAAAATAGCCAAAGGGAGAAAGAAAAGCAAAGGCTCTGATTAATGCATAGTTTCGATGATCAGGGTTGTACTAGTAAAAAGTAAGATTTCTTTTCAGTTTGATTATATAATACCTTCTCGTTTTAAAAAGACAAGTTAGCATTAACTGCTTCCTTCATTTTGGAGATTCTACTTGGGTAATTTAGAAACTATCTCCATTACCATTTTTAAAAATCTTGGTATTAATTTAAGGAAATGGAGACAAAGAATACTCCAACCTATGGTTAAAGTTAGTACAGCTGGGGATTTAGCTCAGTGGTTCCCCCGCCTGCCTTGCAAGTCCAAGGTCCCGAGTTTGATCCCCGGTACCAAAAAAAAAAAAAGAAAAAGTTTTTAAAAAATAAAAACAGCTTCTCTGAAATTACTTCTTTTTTTTTTTC